AATTTTCTTTATAACTATTTTTTCTTTAAAGTTGTGTGTTTTGAAGGTAGATGTCACAGTTGTTATGTGGTATTTTCTTTTTTGGAAAATGACGCTATCAGCGGCATGTTTCCGATACCATTGACCAGAACTAACGGAAGTTGATTATGCCTCCGCCTACCGCACTCGGTTTCATATTTAACCAGTTTACATACGTTATTTTATTTACCAAAAAGATATCTTGAACTGTCCATATGTTTTTTGTTATTAAATGGTATTTGGAGCTATCCCTTTGTTATATTTTTCATATTTATTCGAGCTTCGACTTTTATGCACATGTCTTACAATCGTAAACAATCGGTATGTATACATGATAAATAGATCCGTTTTGTTATGGTGTTGGACTTTTTACCCTCCAATGATCAGCAATCGCTAGACAAAATAGTTCTAAATATTGTCAGCCTTTCATGCCATTTCAACTTTACAATCATTAAAAAAGTTATAATCGGAATCATTTTGATATTCATTGGATAGAAACTGGTCTTTATCCAGATTTACGAAGATTTTAATAATCGGAAATTAGTAATACGGTTATACCCACGCGGTGCGTATGAATCTTTGTTTACAAAGTTATAGCAGCAGAGTCTGTAACTGTATCATTATTAATTAACTACACTGTTATTGTACTTAATATGATGAAAACTGCATATGCAATATAAGATGTCAACTCGGCCAATACAGATTTTTTTTCCGTATTGGCCGAGTTCTGATCCGGCCAAAACAGGATTTCGGAACGTCTCTAGTTTTTAGATCGTAAGTCACGATAAAACTCAAACTGAAAGTAAACAGTTGTTTGTACGACGCAGTTTTTATTTACTCACCATAAACAAGCTGAAACGTTCAGTATGGCATATATGTTATGTTAAAGACGGTCCCATTCATTTGAAAAGCATTTTGAAAGTAGACGATGGAATTATTTCAGGTTTGGGGAACGAGTAAATTATCACAAAGTTCATTTCTTGACGACCTCATAATTTCATCATGTCGATGGTACAAATCGATTTTTACTGTTTACTTTCGCTTCTCATGTTTTGTAAACGGTCTTTTATTTTTAAACCCGAACCAGGCATATGCATTCTGTAATTGCGCAAATCTTCGTTCTTTGGTCAATTGGCTTATGGATAGTTGTATCAATTTCAACTCTTACATTATTTTTTTTTTTAAATATATTTGCATTACACATGCAATGACAGTACCTTTCCAATTACTATTTATGTGTTGTGTCTAAATTAAAGTTGTAACACTTTATAGTGACTGGAAAGGGTAGAAAAATTCATCAGATGAGAAAAGGTTGAAGATACATGGAAACGGCACCAAATCATTAGATATTGCATCTTATAAAAAGAAACTGAGATTTGGATAGTTCCACTTCAAGGTAAAAATGTTTATCTCTTGTGAAATGAAATAAAAAAATATTGTAACACTGCAGTTAATTAATAAAGATACTATTACATGTATTTCTGTATTGGCCTTATTGTTGGTCCTCGGCCAGCAGTATTGGCCTTCGGCTTCGCCTCAGACCAATACACCAAGACATGGACCAATAACAAGGACAATACAGAAATACTTACGCAATAATATTATAGAATGACAGTATGGTTCAATAGCGGGAATCAGCCCCTCAACTACTTTTTACATAAATATTAACTTCTGGCTTCAACTCCTTGTTCGTTTTGTCTGGAGATCTTGTTGTAGTTCCAGTTAGGCAAGCATTTTAGAGACGTATCCCGTCCATCCTCTCTTGACTTGTAATTTCTGGTGATAGATTTTGCCGCTTGACGTTGTATCCTTTCAAGCTTGTTTTTTTTTGTTACCGTGTAGGGGTCCCATACAATGGCTCCATATTAAATTGTAAGATCCATTCCTAAAGGTCTAGATCATTGTTCTAATCTGACACAAATTTCAATAACTGGAATGCTACCCAAGTTTAATATATGGTGACCTACTAGAACAGCATTATCACTATTGAAATTGTGTTTAATACCATGATTGTTCAATGTCATTAACTTAAATGGAGACAGACATTTGGCCTGAAAGGTGGTGTGGGAGTGCAAAATCAAAAACTAACTGACTATGATATATGGTTAAAGAATGAATATCAATTACATGGGTCAACATGGTCAAGGGCAGAGTTGTTATGAAATAACAATATGGCAGAGAAGTGGTTTCAAGTTTCATATAAAGCGACCTGACTGACATGAAATAAAAAATCAAAGGAGTATCCCTATTTGTCTAATCTTCAAGGTGAAATAAAACTAGTAAAACAATATTATACTATTGTCTAAATCTACAGAAATATAATTTGCTTCAAGTAACAGAAATAATTAGGTCACTAGTAACTTATTTAATGAGTATGTGGGGTATAAGAGCTTGATAACAACAGGCTCTTCATAATCATTTGGTTTGAAAAGGATGCTAGTAGTCTATATTCTTGATTTAGAAAAATGTAATTGTAAGACAAAAATCACATTACTTAGAATACTTTAGATCATTCAGGTAGTCTTTATTTATATGTACAAAAGAACAGCCAGTAGTCATTGGATATTGTAGATCATTCAAATAGTCTTGACCTATTTATTAGTACAAAAGAACAGCCAGTAGTCATTGGATATTGTAGATCATTCTGGTAGTCTTGACCTATTTATTTATAGAAAAAAACAGCCAGTAGTCATTGGATACTGTAGATCATTCAGGTAGTCTTGACCTATACATTTGTACTAAAAAAACAGCCAGTTGTCATCTTCACATAACACACACATATACGAATATCAATTATATGCTTACGAGACATGTTGGAATGTTAAACTAATTACGGTATGTGAAAATCAAGACTTGCATAAAAAATATCACAATATTAGAGACAGTGGCGTCATTTTTCCTCAGAGTTTTCAGCTCTTTGATTAAGTCTACCTAGGGGCATTATGATTTTCGGTCTGTGCATCCGCTCATCTGTCTGTCCTGCTTCAGGTTACAGTTTTTGATGAAGTTGAGTCCAATCAACTTGAAATTTAGTACACATGTTCCCTATGATATGATCTTTCTAATTTTAATGCCAAATTAGAGTTTTGACCCCAATTTCGCAGTCCACTGAACATAGAAAATGATCGTGCCCGCTTCAGGTCAAAATTTTTGGTCAAGGTAGTTTTTGATGAAGTTGAGTCCAATCAACATGATCAACTTGAAACTTAGTACACATGTTCCCTATGATATGATCTTTCTAAAATTACAGTTTTGACCCCAATTTCACAGTCCACTGAACATAGAAAATGATAGCGCGAATGGGGCATCAGTGTACTATGGACACATTCTTGTTGTTGTGTGTGTTAATGTTTGATTTTTACTTGATCCGGTTTGGGGGTCCGGATTTCCAAATTTTTTTTACTTCATCTTGTTTGGGGGTCCAGATTTGCTACCAGGTAATATCATTTTCATTAGATAATAGTCTATTTTTATTCTGCCTGTAAAACTACACACAATTTTTACAATTAACTAAATATACATATTTGTACATGTATTTGGATTAGGACAATGTATTTACTATTAATTTATTCATGCAATTATTTCCACCTTTTATCAAGATAACAAACATGTGGTAATTATCAACTAACAAAATTATAATTGGAGTGACAGATTTATTTTTTGATTTTGGGCCCAGTTTTCAAGGTGGTCCAAATCAAGGTACAAAATTTAACTGTGTTTCATTTCAACATAAATTGAATATATAAATAGGGTTCTTTCAAATGCTAATCTAAACCTACATATTTAAATTTTGGATTTTTGGACCCAGTTTTCAAGTTGGTCCAAGTTGGTCCAAATCAGGGTACAAAGTTAAACTTTGTTTGCTTTGATTTCAACAAAAATTGAATTTATGTGCTTCTTTGAAATGCTGAACATGCTGAATCTAACCAAACATTTAGTAGATTTTGGATTTTGAACTCCTTTATCAAATTGTTCCACATTGAGGTCCAAAGGGTCCTAAATTAAACTTTTGTTTGTTTGGGGTTCTTTAAATTTGATATGCTGATTCTAGACTTAGATTTTGGATATTGGACCATAAAAGGTAAATGTCCAATTTCAAATTTTTCAGTCATTGACCTCATTCATTTTGTGTCACAAACCTATGCTGTGTCAAATATTCTATCACAATCCAATTCAGAGCTGTTTTAAGGTTAAATGTTGTGTCTATAGTTGCTCAATTGTTCAGGGTTCGACCTCAGCAGGAAAATCTTGTTTGCTGTCACTCTGACAGCCTCTTGATTATTCTTTTCTCTTCTGCCCCCTTTTCAATATGGCTGCAATAACCATAAAAGGGCAAAATTTTTCTACATTCTAGTACAGAGCATATGAATTTTATTTATAGAAGCAGAATATTATTTGTCCTAGGGAACCAACAATTCAAGATCATTTGAGGATAAACAAATTTAAATTTCTGACGTATGTTGAAAACAATATAAGTCCAATTGTCTGACACAAGGAAATGATTTTTAACCCAGCCTTGCTGGATCTATGTGATCGATCCAAATTTTTAAGATGGTGCAGACTTTGAGTTGAATGCACCTCATGAATCTAAATGATGTGTTTTATGACTTGCAGAAAGTATATATATACACCAAAAGGTCCATTTTAATCATCTACTGCCAACTTTTGACATGTTATTTGTCCTTAACAAAAGAGAGGTCAAATAGATACCAAGATTTAGATATATACACAGTTTTGTACAGTAGTTACTTTTAAATATGCGATTCCTTAAAAACGATATCATAACTTTTATACCTTACAACATTAATTTTATTGGCAAAAATAAACAAATGTTTATATATATGTAAAATCCTAAACACAAATATTTCAGAGTACTTTGACATGTTTGAAGAGACTGATTAATATATTAATGTAAAGATATAAGGCTAAGCTTCTGTGATATTTTTAGTTGGACAGTTTTTGATCAATCAATCTCTTTACAGTGAAATGATAACGGGAATGGTCATAGCAATATAAGAGATGGGATTTATCAAAAGAGAATACATTATTATCAACGGAAGGAACTTTTTTATAAGTGCAGAACATATCATTGTAAGGGAAGGAACATAGTGTAGGATAAAGAACTCTTCACTGTACGAGAAGGAAGACACATGAGGAGATATATATCATTATAAGAGAAGGAACACATTATTATCATGATTACAGATGGAATGCTACATTTTAATGAGAATGAACACTTCACTATAATAAAAGAAGAGAACGAACACTTCACTATAAGAAAAGACACCTATAAAAAGAGAGGGAACACACCTTTATGAGAATAGAAACACATCATTATAAGAGAAGGAACACATCATTATTATAAGATTTTGAGAATAAATATATCCTTATAAGAGAAAGAACACACTATTATACAGAGAATGCACACTTTATAATAAGATTGTCAGAATGGATACATCACTTTGGTATGAGTATTACCAGGGTGTTGTGTATCCGTTAGATCTCTGTTCTCCACCAGCTATTGGACAACAGAAGAAGAGTGTAGCATCCTTGACAACCTTGTGTTCTCGTTACATCATACAAGACTCTACCATGACAGCTCAGGCCATACACTACATACCGAAAGAGCTTTGTATTGTATTGATGCAAGAAGCATTGATATGTAACAAAGATCGGGCTGTTGATGTTTTGTTGTCTCATTGGCCATTTGAAACTTTGTCACTACAGAAACTGGTACCAAATGTGTTTACTTCTGTAAGGCCATTATATGATATGTTATATTTATCTGAAGTTACCAGGCAATGTTTGAGATACACCACATGTTTGGCTCATACCTTCCTTGAATGTGTGAAAAATAAAACTCCAACAAAACTCCGATATCTGGATATGTCAGGATTTCCTACTCGTAAGTATTGCTGGTGATAACATCTCCATTTTCTAAAATTTTAACTCCAATTTAATTTTAAAAAAGAAATATGATTCTATAAACCAAACTCTGCGATCTGGATAAGTAAGTATTGCATGTGATGTTATCTGAATTTCCTTAAATGAATATAATTCTATCAAAACCCCGATATCTAGACATGGCAGGATTTCTAGCGATGCTATCTAATTATAAATTCCCATGAACGTAAGACAAAAAAAAAAAACAATTCAAACCTTCGATACCTGGACATGGTAGGATTTTGTAATTAATAATTGAATGCTTTTTAACTGGATTTCCAAAGGAAACTGTGTCCGTTCATTAACATGAAAACACTTGTATGTTGTAATATATATCACCTGCAATCTTATTGTAACTGAGGTAATTCCTTATCTATTTATAGAAGAGGTAATCCTGTACTATTTGGCTTCACATTGTATGTTGTTATATAGATCCTCTGTAATCTTATTGTAACTGAGGTAATTCCTTATCTATTTTTAGCAGAGGTAATCCTGTACTATTTGGCTTTACATTGTATGTTGTTATATATATCCTCTGTAATTTGATTGTAACTGAGGTAATTCCTTATCTATTTTTAGCGGAGGTAATCCTGTACTATCTGGCTACACATTGTATGTTGTCATATAATGAAGCTCGTCAAAATGTGATGGTCAACATGTATAATAAAGCTGTACAGTTATTGCCACAGCCTGTGCCAGATCGTTTAATGATGGCCGATCAGTTCCTGCCTGACACTTCAAGTATGTTGATATAAACAATAAGAATTCATGATGGAAAGTTTAATATTACAGTAAAATGTTTTTATAAGAATTTAGGATAAAGTAATATCATTGTTAACAGCTGTAAAAACTAAACTTAAAGCTTGATGCTTGTCTAGTGTTGTGTTTTTATAAGAATTTAGGATAAAGTAATATCATTGTTAACAGCTGTAAAAACTAAACTTAAAGCTTGATGCTTGTCTAGTGTTGTGTTTTTTATAAGAATTTAGGATAAAGTAATATCATTGTTAACAGCTGTAAAAACTAAACTTAAAGCTTGATGCTTGTCTATTGTTGTGTTATTTTATAAGAATTTAGGATAAAGTAATATCATTGTTAACAGCTGTAAAAACTAAACTTAAAGCTTGATGCTTGTCTAGTGTTGTGTTTTTATAAGAATTTAGGATAAAGTAATATCATTGTTAACAGCTGTAAAAACTAAACTTAAAGCTTGATGCTTGTCTAGTGTTGTGTTTTTATAAGAATTTAGGATAAAGTAATATCATTGTTAACAGCTGTAAAAACTAAACTTAAAGCTTGATGCTTGTCTAGTGTTGTGTTTTTTATAAGAATTTAGGATAAAGTAATATCATTGTTAACAGCTGTAAAAACTAAACTTAAAGCTTGATGCTTGTCTATTGTTGTGTTATTTTATAAGAATTTAGGATAAAGTAATATCATTGTTAACAGCTGTAAAAACTAAACTTAAAGCTTGATGCTTGTCTAGTGTTGTGTTTTTATAAGAATTTAGGATAAAGTAATATCATTGTTAACAGCTGTAAAAACTAAATTTACTTGTCTATTGTTGATGGCCATATGTCATGTTGACCGCTAGATGACTTTGGTTTTTGTCTTGCTTGTTTGGTTGGTGTATAGCCTACCTCTCCTTTTATTCAATTTTAAGCCTAGAAGACAGAAAAATTTTAGAATATGGAAAAAAAATTCAGTAGAATTTTAGTGATATGTCTAACATGTCTAAGAAAAGTTAGTGATATGTATTTGATATATTGGTCATACATGTACTTCAAGGAGACAATTAACCTTTCACACAATAAAAATAATTGTAAAGGGTTCTGCGTAACATTCCATGAAAGTTTGACAAAGTGGTTGGTGTCTTAACCTTTAACGTTAGTCTGTATCTCATTGTTAGCTGTGGAAAAATAACAAATCCATTTTCATCAGTAAAATACAGGAAATGAAAAATAACATATGGGAATATTTTTATCTGTATACTGTCTTTTGATCATTAAAAAGTTTCTGTCCGTCTATTACTATATATCAAGTTCAAATTGGACCAAAATATATTTGTAAACAATTTGTGAAAAGTTTCACCATTTTTTTTTCATTTTCAGAAAAACCCTTTATTGACAAAATGCTCTGTTTTGTTTACAATTGACTTTATTAATAGTACTCTTGGTCTGTTAAATAAAATGTATTAATAATGATTCGTAATTAGGTTTGTTTCTTAAATACTCTATGCAATTGGCTAACTAGTCAGGTGTAAATGTCTGGCAGGGTTCGTCTGACCTTGACCATATGATAATTTTAATTGTATCATGTATGTGAAAATTGTAGTAAAACCTTTATCTGTTAATATAACAGACTTTTTACATAAGTTCAATCGTGATAAGTAAGGCAGGTGAGACATTTCAGGTTGTGCTTTCATATTTTTGTTTTTTTTTCCCGTTAATATTTAGATACAGTCTAAAATTTTATATTTAAGGTTAAAGGATAACAGCTAACAACATAACCAGTTTACATTATAATCACCAGCTTCCTGTTTTTTATTTCAGTTCTAGTAAAACTTGATGCCTTTGTTGCTGCAGACCAGACACTGACAGAACTAAGTAAAGCCTTGAAGGTATCAGGATTTACTGACAGTAAACTGTGTATGTGTTTACAGAAACTTGATGCTACATGTTTGGGGGAACCTAAGCTTAACATACTTCTTGGACAGATAAATCCACAGGTATATAATTTTACATAGGGTTGGGATAACACATGTATGTACATTAGTTTACATAAGGTTGGGATTACACATGTATGTACATTAATTTACATAGGGTTAAGATAACACTTGTATGTACATTAATTTACGTAGGGTTGGGATTACACAAGTATGTACATTAATTTACATAGGGTTGGGATAACACATGTATGTACATTAATTTACATAGTGTTGGGATTACACATGCATGCACATTAATTTACATAGGGTAAGAATAACACATGTATGTAAATTAATTTACATAGGATTGGGATTACTCATGTATGTACATTAATTTTACATAGGGTTGGGATTACACAGGGTTTACATAAGGTTGGGATTACACAGGTATCTATATTAATTTATATAGGGTTGGGATTACACAGGTATCTACATTAATTATACCCCCGCTTTAAAAAACTGGGGGTATACTGTTTTACCTCTGTCTGTCCGTCCATCCGTCAGTCCGTCCATCCGTCCCATGAATATTTTTGGTTGCATCTTTCTCAGGAGCATCACCATAAGGATTTCTGAAATTTGGTTTCAGGGTTTATATAAGTCAGCTATACCGTGTGATGTGTTTTCAGATTCATCACTCAACAACTTCCTGTTTACACATGACATCCAAGTTGAAAATTTTCGTCACATTTTTCTCAGGAACTACATTACAAGGATTTCTGAAATTTGGTTTCAGGGTTTATATGAGTCAGCTATACTGTGTGATGCGTTTTCAGATTCATCACTCAACAACTTCCTGTTTACTGACAACTTGCATCATTTTACACATGCCATCCAAGTCCATCCAAGTTGAAAATTTTCCTCACATTTTTCTCAGGAACTACATTACAAGGATTTCTGAAATTTGGTTTCAGGGTTTATATGAGTCAGTTATACAGTGTGATGCATATTCAGATTCATCACTCAACAACTTCCTGTTTACCGAACACTTACATATTTTTACACTATTAAAATTATCCAGTTGGGGCGGGGTATCATTAGTGAGCAGTAGCTCACAGTTTCACTTGTTTATATAGGGTTGGGATTACACAGGTATCTACATTAATTTACATAGGGTTGGGATTACACAGGTATATAATTTACTTAAAGCTGGGATTACACAGGTATATAATCTACATAAAGTTTGGATTACACAGGTATGTAAATTTACATAAAGTTTGAATTTCACAGGTATATAAATTTGCATAGGGTTGAATTTTCACAGGTATGTAAATTTACATAAATTTGGAATTACACATGTATAAAAATAAGAAGTTGTGGTATGATTGCCAATGAGACAACTCTCCACATGAGACCAAAATGACATATAGTAGTTTTAAGACAACAATAGGTATGTCAATTTATACAAAGGATTACAAATATTTTGAATTTAATAATAACTATACAGAGATGTCATTCTATATTCCTGAAACAGCCTGGGTATACAATATGGGTTTTTTAAGTTTTACCCTTGTCTGTCTGTCCGTACGTACGTACATCCAAAAACTGGTTTCCATTCTCTAACTTAAGTTTGCCTCAACCAAATGTTATCAAACTTATACACAATGCTTATTACCACAAAACACAGATGAAGTATGAATTTTGGTGGCGTCACTATAACTGTTCTAGAGTTATGCCCCTTTATATTTCATTTCCATTCTCTAAAGTTTGCCTCAACCAAATGTTATGAAACTTATACACAATGCTTATTACCACAATACACAGATCAAGTTTGAATTTTGGTGGAGTCACATTTACTGTTCTAGAGTTATGCCCCTTTACAAATGGAAATATTGCTAAATTTTTCATTTTTTTTCTAAAAATATCAATGATGTCATTGTTCAAGTAATTTTTATACAACCGCAAAAAATTTTTATGGTAGTATATTGGTATGACGTTGGCGTCGTCGTCGTCGTCCGAAGACACATTGGTTTTCGCACAATAACTTTAGTTTAAGTGAATGGATCTCTATGAAATTTTACCATAAGGTTCAATACCACAAAAGGAAGGTTGGGATTGATTTTGGGGGTTATGGTACCAACAGTTAAGGAATAAGGGGCCAAAAAGGGGCCAAAAATAAGCATTTTTGTAACATCCAGACAATAACTTGTGTGTAAGTGTATGGATCTCTCTGAAATTATACCACAAGTTTCCATACCACAAAGGGATGGTTAGGATTGGCTTTGGGGGGTTATGGCTCAAACTGTTTAGGAATTAGGGGCAAAAAAGGGGAAAATACAAGGGTTTCCTGGTTAATGGACAATTTAAAAGCAGTGTAAGGGAGGTAATCCAAAAACAAAATTGTACAATGTTGGATTACCTATACTGCTTTTAAATTATCTATTTAAGACTTTTATGATGTATTTAAGTTGGTAATTATGGTTGCAAACTCTATTTGAAATTTGAATTGAGATTATGACCATATCTTGAGGGAAAGAATTTTTTTTTTGGAAAGGGGGGGAGGAGGGTAAAAAAGAAATTGTGGGGGGGGGGGGGGGCAATTTTTTTTTTCATTTCAGATTTGAGAAATTAAAAAGAAAATTTCTTCAAATATTTGTTTTTTTTTTGCAAAAAAAAAGGGGGGGGGGGGGGGGTCAATATGCAACAGCAAAGTGTATTTCACAAAAGCAAAATATTGAATATAAATTCAAATCCTATAACCAATTCTTAGTTCTTTGACTACAGTTATTCAGTGTCAGAAACCTATTACTGTGGATTCATTTATTTTCGTGGGTACCAATTTTCGTGGATTGAGGAAAACTTACATGTTCGTGGATATTTAATTTCGTGGTTTTGCTGAAGTCTGCATACAAGCCTATAGAAAATTTGTTATTCGTTGAACATTTAATTTCGTGGTTCACCTGTACCCACGAAATCCACGAAAATTGGTATCCAACGAATAATAATGAATCTACAGTATGTGTCAATATTTAATTACAATCCAAATTCAGACCTGTATCAAGTGCGAATATTGTGTCCATTTTCGCCCCAACTGTTCAGGGTTGGACCTCTGCGGTCGTATCCAGCTTAGCTCAGCGAAGCATTTTATTAAAATTGGAGTTATCTTCCTTTGTCCATGATTATAGTTGAATCAACTACAATCAATGCTTTATACAATGCAATGTTTAATTTTGCCTTCCACTGATAAAACACAGATCAAGTTGAATTTGGGTAGTGTCACTTTAACCATTATTGAGTTATGCCCCTTTATGAATCGAAAAATTGCAAACTACAGGATTTCGTGTCTTACGATTCAGGATTTGGGGATCGGACCCCCACCTACCCCCCTCATTATTCGATTGTCGAACTTATATATCTTACCACTGACTATTTCCAGAAATAATCTGAAATCACGGACCTATAACTCCAGTCCAATTTCCCAGTATCCATAAAAAAAAACCCATAAAAAATCAATATTTCTAGAATAACATAAAATGATATAGTTATATCTAATTTCCCATATCCATAACATTCAAAGGTAGCATGTGGCAAAAAGAAAAACTAAAAATAATATTCCTAAAATAACATAAAATGACACAGGGGGTACCCCCATATCTCAGTGAATTCAGATGACAAAGATATGATTATCCGATATTCCTGAAGGTGAAATGGCAAAGTAGATCCTAATATACCCTGTTCAAGGCTTAAAGCTGAAAATTGATATTTAGCTCCGTCCGCAATGAAACGGTTTGAAATCAAACTATGACATCTTCAATCTATGCAATGATGTCAAGCTCTCTGGAAATGCCAAGAATGCAGGATTTTACACCATTTATCCCAGACCCCCTACCGAAATTTTTCTGCCTCACTAAAATTATATGCCTAGTTACAGCCTTGAATATCCTTCAATGCTGTGTTTCTTATTTTAAATCATACTGTTTACACACCAAATACTAGATTAATGCATAAAAGTGCTATTATAATGAATTGCATACAGAGAAAATTATTTTTCATTGCAAATTTTAAAATGTGTCAAGTTGGTGGAAAATATTATGTGGGTTTATCAATAATTCTGGTGGTCAAAAGACATGTACTGTCCATAAAAAAAATCACTACACACAGTGCATATTCAAGGTAAATACTTCATTACAAAGATATTTCCTAAGTTAATAAAAATCAATTTGTTAAAATGAGAAAAAAAATGCATCAAAGTGAAGTACAGAAAATCTCCTTTGTGACGTTTTATGGAAAATCCAGAAAAATCACAAAAACATTTCTTCCAGTCTTACCATTTGCTTCAAGCTTTTTTAAAGAGATAATGACAGGAACAACATTTTAGACATAGCAACATTGTCCCTCAGTGTGGACCCATATTGTTAAAATGTTTGCAGTTGACATATTTACCTAGCTATGTAATTTCACCTTAAACTCTAGATAGTCCTTTGTTTATGTCTTTTTTTAATTTCCAAATGGTACCAACTGTGAGATTTTATACGACCGGTCGTATATTGGTATGGCGTTGGCGTCGTCGTCGTCGCCCGAAGACACATTGGTTTTCACACAATAACTTTAGATTAAGTGAATGGATCTCTATGAAATTTTACCATAAGGTTCAATACCACATTTTTTCTAGTTTCCAGACAATAACTTGTGTTCAAGTGTATAGATCTCTCTGAAATTGTATTGCAAGGTACCATACCACAAAGGGAAGGCTGGGATTGAGTTTGGGGGTGATGAATCATAAAGGGGTTCAAAAACTTTGGGGTTGTTTTTTTTTCTATTTTAAGACTTTTATGATGTATTTAAATTGGTAATTATGGTTGCAAACTCCATTGGAAATTTGAATTGAGATTATGACCATATCTTGAGGGAAAGAATTTTTTTTTTTTTAAAGGGGGGGGGGGGGGGGGGGAGGTGAAAAAAAAATTTAGGGGGGAAGGAGGTAAAAAAGAAGTTTTTTGTGGGGGCAATTTTTTTTTTCATTTCAGATTTCAGAAATAAAAAAGGAATTTCTTCAAATATTATTTCTTTTTGCAAAAAAAAGGGGGGGGGGTAAAAATTTTTAATTTTTTTGGGGGGGAGTCAATACGCAACAGCATAGTGTATTTCACAAAAGCAAAAAAAAGGGTGCTAATTTTTTTTTTTAGGGGGAGGTGGGCCAATTTCACAACAGCATAGTGTATTGCACAAAAGCAAAAAATTGAATATAAATTCAAATCATATAACCAATTCTAAGTTCTTTGACTACAGTTATTCGGTGTCAGAAACCTATTATGTGTCAAATATTTAATTACAATCTAAATTCAGACCTGTATCAAGCGCGAATATTGTGTCCATTTTTGCCCCAACTTTTCAGGGTTGGACCTCTGCAGTCGTATCCAGCTGCGCTCAGCAAAGCATTTTATTTGTAACCTTTTCCAGATGTCTGAAGATGCCTTTAAGATATAATCTAATAATGTTTTATTATTTTTATTTTCAGTATTTGACAGGAATTAGATTGAAGTACAACTCTATTAACTGTGAGAGTTTTTGTAACCTGGCCCCTACACTAGAGAAGTTTACAAACTTATGTGCCTTAGACCTTTCGTGTAACAGTATAACAGTGTACCAGAGTGACTCAACAACAGAGGTCCTTGGTAAAACACTGTCCTCCTTACCAAATCTAAGCAGACTGGATCTTAGTAGTAACAGACTGAAGTACAAGCTACGACAGCTAATCAGTGGTACACAGCAGCCGTTACAACATCTTCGTCTGGCAGGATGTGGTCTGACAGAATCAGATATCAGATACCTATCAACATCACACCATACCAAAGCCTTACAACACATTGATTTAAGTGGAAACACACTGACATTATGTTGTGGAAGTTTAGGACATCTATTAGAAGAAGTTAAGTCTACCTTACTAGTGCTTGAGTTAGAGGACAGTAAACTAGATGATGGTGGTATTCTTCGCCTGTTGCCCTACATTTCCTTGTTACATTCCATTCTGTATCTGAATCTGTCCCAGAATTCCTTAGTTTCTTCAGTTTGTTTACAGCTGAGTGTAACATTATCGACATTGGTAGATCTGAAGGCTATGAAGATATCATACTGCTCAGACTTTTATGGAACAGAAGATGAAGAAGAATTTAATCGAGTCAAACAAATGTTTGTCAACCAATTTTTAGTGGTTCTGAACAAATTATCTGAAACACATCTGGTCATGTCTGATCTTGAAAGCATTTGATAATTTATAATAATCATGATTGTACCTTTTCATGATGTATATAAAACCATGATTGTACTGTTTTATAATTTATAATGATCATGATTGTACCGTTTAACAATTTATAATGATCATGACTGTATAAACTGTTTAATAATTAGAATGATGTATAAGAATATGTAAATATTATGTTCATTGCAGAAATTATAGATAGAAATATAGACTAAAATTATAAAGTTATATAGATTTAAGTTAATTTCATTGGGTTAATCACCTGAATTTTTATACCCCACGGCACAAAGTTAAGTAGGCTATAATGTTTTTGACTCATCCCTCTGTCTGTCCCTCAGTCCCTCAGTCCTGTTCTTGTCATCGTAAATCCTCTGAATCCACACAACAGAATTTCATGAAACTTTGTAGATAACAAGGACATACTATGTAGATGTGCATATCAACAGGAAATTATGATTCAATTTTTTTTTCTAGAAGTTATGCCCCTTTGAACCTAGAATTTTGGCCTAACTGTACTACTGCAACAGTTTGTCATCACAACTCCTCTGAATCCACACAACAGAATTTCATAAAACGGTGTAGATAATAAGGAAACCGTATGTAAATTTGCATATCCACAAGAACTTTTTATCAGATGACTTTTGTAGGAGTTATAAGTCTTTGAACTTAGGAATCTTGTGATACTTTGTTTGCCCAGTGACAATGTTGGGGCATGGGGTATGTGAGCGTGTTCACTAAGGTTCTTTAATTTAAATGTTTTCAACTGAAACTACATAGAAAATTTGAACCAAAAGTTGGTCAAAATGTTACTATTAAATTGTCCTTTTAGGAGTAAAACTGAAATTTGATATAATTGCCAACTATCCATAATGACCAAAGGATGTGAAAAGTAACAGGTCACCATATATCATTCAATAATGAGCAAAGGATAAAAGTAACAGGTCACCATATATCATTCAATAATGAGCAAAGGATGTGAAATGTAACAGGTCACCATATATCATTCAATAATGAGCAAAACCAATACTGTAACATCATCTATTTAAGGTCAAATAAGTAGAAAACGTGAAACAATTCAAAAGAGTAATCTTATGCCTTGACCTATTTTACAACAATGAAAGAAAATTGAATAGAAACAATATTTAACGATATACAGTGTTAAAGTGATAAGATTTTTTAGTAAGTTTATACAAAGGATCAATGAAACAATGTTTTACTAAGAATTATGTACTTTCTTGCAATTGTGGCCTTTTAGAATAAGTTTATACAAAGGATCAATAAAAAAGTTCATAGAAAGATACCAAGATCTTGTTGATAAATATTCCGTATCAACTCCACAAATAGTACACGATGGTCTTGAAGTTTAGATTCTAGGTACTGATGTTGTTTACATCTATAAGTGTTATAGTGTTCTTTTATTTGTCTTTGTAAAGTATTACTTTTACTGTTAAGTCTATTTTTGGTAATATCCATTTGACGTGGCTCAGTACTTATACATTCCATCATTGTATTATTGTGCTATGGTAAATATTTGTAATTTTGTCTTTCGTTTTTGCTAATGTGCTTTGTCTATATGTATTTTTGTTTTTCTTTGAAGACATATTGGTTTGTTTTTATAGTGATTAAGATTATAGCACAATGTTGACTGCTGTACCCATAATTTTGACATTTATATCTATTATGTCTGTTTGTTTTGGTGGATTAAACCTAGTTTTATAGCTAGCAAAAACTCTCACTTGTATGCCAATCACATAAAATTCCATTATATTGGCCACAATGTGGGAACAAAACAAACGGACATAATAGGTAAAAATGTAATAAATAAGGGTACAGCAGTCAACATTGTGTTAAAATCCTAATCTCTATAAAAACAAACAAATATGTCAACAAAGAAAAACAAAATGGCATATAGACAAAGCACATAAGCAAGAATGAAAGACAAAAAAAAACAAAAATTACCACAGCACAACAACACATTGGCAGGATGCATATGTACCCATCCACGCCAAAAAGATATTACCAAAAATGGACTAAACAGTAAAGGTTAAAAAAATAATTTACAAAGACAAATAAAAGAACGCTATAACACGCAATTAAGATGATAAACAAGATTAGTACCTAGAATCTATACTTCAAGACCATCATGTAATATTTGTGAAGTTGATACGGAATATTTATCAATAATGTCGGTATCTTCCGATGAACTTTTTAAGAAAAAGGAAGAGATGTTCTTTGACATAACCCTGGTTCATCAACTTTCTGCTCAGACACTGGTGAGGTTTTATAAAGTGTGGGTAGCAGCTGCAAGCTCTTGAATACCGAATGAGTTGGGAAATCTATATCCCATATGCAGGGGAAGTTGGTATATTGCTACTAACGTGGGGGAAATTATCAATTTCAAAATTAAATTGTCTCGTTTGTCATAGATTCTGGTACTGAGATGACCATGTATGTCAAATCGAGGTATAAGTCTAAAAAGAAGGCAGAGAAAGCCGTGTCTGTTGTTTCTTTAATTTCTAGTGGATAAATTAATGGAACCAAATCAGAAAAGTTTGGATTGTTTATGGAAAGAACATCATCAATATATCTGAATGTGAAATTAAATGATCTGGCTTCTTTAATCTTCTTGTTTGTGACAAGTGTCTGAAGGAACTCCGACTCATATGAAAATAAGGTGAGGTCGGCAAGGAGAGGCGCACAGTTCATTCCCATAAGAATGCCGACAATTTTATTGAAAAAGTCTCCAAATTCAACAAATATGTTGTCAATAAGAAACTCCACCATACTGATCACTTGTTCCTCTGTGAAGCATGTTTTACCCTTTTGTTCACTATTAACAGAATATGTCCTATGGTATCCCAAAGTTATAAATTTATAGCGTATGCTACCATTTTTATATTGAAAAGCATTGTGGATTATTTCTTCTAGACGATATTTCAATTTCACATGGAGAATGGTGGTAAATAGGGTTGAAAAAATCAAAAGTTGTGATAGGATTAATTTCAAAGAAAGACCGAGATTTAAAATTATCCAGAAGTTCCTGTTAGAATCCACATATGGTAAATACCACTACGCGAGTGAACAGTTTCACAGTATTTCTGAGGACCCTCCTTCTCTGCGGAAAGAAACAGTATCTACCTTCTTGCAATGGTGGCCTTTTAGCATTTTTGTGTTGCTCTTCAATCTCGTAAGAGATTTGGCTTTCAAATTGTTTTGATTTCAGCGCCTTTCAACGGATGAGTCTGGTAGCTTTTATCAGAGACATATAATACATTATATGTCTCTGCTTTTATCTATGATAACTTTTGATTAATTCTATTAATTTTAAAGTGTTCTGCTTCTGGTCCTGAGATATTCTTTATGTTTTCCGGTGGACCCCATCTAAAGTATACTTACATTGATTGCTGACAACTCCTTGTGTCTGTACAGTTTACCACTGGTGCGTTAAGATATCTACAAGGTGAATGATTCGGGTTGTTAGGAACGTCAAAACGCCTCGGTGGACTGTGTCGTGGTAGCGTGTTCTTATCAAGTGCGGGAGGTGATGAATTCGAAGCCCAGTCGGGTAAAAGAAGTTAAAGAGTTGGTATTTGCTTCTCTGCTAAGCACGCGGTATTTAAGTTTAAACATTTTTATTTGGGTCAAGATTCGCAATTCATTTCCCATAGGCGACAATGGTAGCATTTTCTTCAATTCTTCTGTCCATATTGTAAATTTGAATATGTTTGATGGCTTGTTTCGAAGCTGATACATTTTATCACATGTGGTAGTTAAATTCAGTTCTGTACAAACGATTAATAACTCCATCTTTATTGTACAGTCTCCTGTTCTTCAAAAAATTACAAATTGTTAAGCTCAGTCAATTAATAAAAATAACTGCATGTCCAATTTCTTTGCACACAGGGTTTTTCTATTTCTATTCATAGTTGAGTTCATCACTCTGAGGCGTATTAGCGGGATATTGACCCATATGCAAAAAAGGGTTAGGGTTAGTCCACTTGTGTCTAATCCTTTTTGTGAGTTTTTTTTTTTTTTTTTCAAATGAAATATATTTAAACCCGGTGTTCAGGAGTAAGAGCAAAGAATGGTCGGCTCGGCTCGGAGTCAGAATATAATGTCCGGGTAGAGTGACATCATCCTGCAGACTGTTACCTTGTGAACTACCATGCTAAAAATCTTGCTAATATATATAAAAGAGAAGATGTGGTATGATTGTCAATGAGACAACTCTCCACAAGAGACCAAATGACACAGAAATTAACAACTATAGGTCACCGTACGGCCTTGAACAATGAGCAAAGCCCATACCACACAGTCAGCTATAAAATGCCCCGAAATGACAATGTAAAACAATTCAAACGAGAAAACTAACGGCCTAATTTATGTACAAAAATGAACGAAAAACAAATATGTAACACATAAACAAACGACAACCACTGAATAACAGGCTCCTGACTTGGGACAGACACATACATACATACAGAATGTGGCGGGGTTAAACATGTTAGCGGGATCCCAACCCTCCCCCTAACCTGGGACAGTGGTGTAACAGTACAACATAAGAACGAACTATAAAAATCAGTTGAAAGAGGCTTAACTCATCAGATGGATAAAAATACAAATACTACAATTACAAGTGGACGTGGCCGGGTACTTGTACATCCAAACAACAAAAAGACACGTCGGTCTATCACAAACCAGGGTCACATGATATTCATTTCGCATTAACATGTTCTCGTCTTGAATATGCATTTAATTTGCCGCCGGACGTTAAACGGCCTTTCATCATCGTCATCTTACGAGCCTCTTGTATAGAGTGGCATGTGCCTTCTGCCGATGGTTTCTTTACAGTAATCCTTGTCAATGGTTTAGCAATATCCTTTAAAAAAAAATCCGATGGTAAAAGACAGACGAAAGATACCAAAGGGACATTCAAACTCATAATTCGAAAAGAAACTGACAGCGCCATGGTAATACAAGAAAGAGACCAAAAGACAAAACAACAGTATACAAAACACAACATAGAAAACTTAAGACTGAGCAACATGAACCCCACCAACACTGGAGGTGACCTTTGGCGGAACTGACAAAACCTATGAACTGCTTCTTAGTGTTACTTGGTTTTTATACGACTGCCAAAAAAAAATTCCGTCGTATAATGCTATGGTGTCGTCTGCGTCAGCGTCGTCCGAAGACACATTTGGTTCCCGGACAATAACTTTAGTTTA